GACAGACAACACTTCATTGCAGAACATATACAACTTCCAGGAATTTCACATAATTTTTGGAACACTTATAATTCATATCTATACGGACAAAATATAAGGAAGGCTTAATGTTACTTTTTATTTGACAACCCTTCCCATGTAATTTAACATACCAAATATACCTAATTAGCTTAATTTCTCTTTTTATAAGGAGAGAGAACACATTTTCAAGATATATCATGGGCCTTTAAATATTTCATATTCCAAAGTCAAAAAGACTTCATTTGGAATTTGATTTTTGGGAAAGTGAAAAAATGAAAGTGAAACTCACTCGGTTGTATCTGACTCTTTGCAACTCCATGGACTGTAGCCCACCAAGTTCCTCTGTCCATGGGATTCTTCATGCAAGAATACTGGACTGGGTCACCATTCGTTTCTCCAGGGGATCTTCCTAACCCAGGGATTGCACCTGTGTTTTCTGCATTGCAGGCAGATTCTTTACCATCTGAGTCACCAGGGAAGTTTGTCAAAATATCAAAAATGTCTTAAACTGCTTGCACAAACAGGTCTCCGTGAAACAACGATCAGTTATCCATTTAAACAAAATAAGAATTAAAGATTTCATTGGCAAATTTAGATTTATTATTAAAATAAAAAAAAATAGTTTCTAAGGCAGAGTCCATTTCCTTGCTTATCATTCAGGTTGGCAAAGGAATTTCCTTTTAGGGTGACTACCAGCTTTTGGGGAGGGGGAATTTCCTCCTCTACTCCTCTGGAGTTCTTGTGGCTGGGCTAGTAACAAATTTGACACAGAATGATTAACAGGAGAAAAAGGAACAAACTTTAATTCATTTGCATGGAGGTTCCACAGAAATGGACCTTAAAAAGTGGCCAAAGCAGGTAGTTTAAAAAACATTTTTTTTTTTTTTTTTTTTTGGACAAAGAAACAGTGTATCTATGAGGAATTGACTGGAGAAAGAAAACTTAGATTTTAGGTGCCCAATTAGTAAGGAATCTAAACAGAATTTGGGCTTGGGGTATTATATTAAGGAAGTAACAAGGTTTGTTTACATCGAGTTCTAGGCCTGAATTCTCAATCTTTGGTGAGAAGTATGTTCTTTTACCTTTGGATGTGGGGAGTATACCTTTCACATGAGAGGTACATAATCTGCTTTCAGGGGAACAGAAGGAAGGGTGAGGGTGTCCCTCTTGCACTGGCCATGCCTTAAGTAACTGAAGTTCACTTCAAAATAATCAATATGCCATTGAGGCACACTTTCCGGTGGTCTGCTGTGGGCCCCCACAAACCTTAAAAAGTTTAGTAAATGTAAGAGTTTGTTTCCCCTACAAGTCAACAAGGGTGACCTCAAGAAGCTAGGAACAGCCCTCAGCTGATATTCAGCCAGAGAATGATAACCAGTAAGAACTGAATTTTGCCAATAAGCCGAATGATAAGCAAGGTAACAGATTCTGACTCAAAGCCTCCAAAGGAATGCTGCCTGCCACTACCGAGATTTTCCCCGTGAGATCGTGTCAGATTTCTGACATACAAAACTACAAGTTAATAAATATGTATTGAGCCACTAAGCTGGCTTCCCTCATAGCTGTTGGTAAAGAATCTGCCTGCAATTAAAGAGACCCCGGTTCGATTCTTGGATCAGGAAGATCCGCGGGAGACAGGATAGGCTACCCACTCCAGTATTCTTGGGCTTCCTTTGTGGCTCAGCTGGTAAAGAATCTGTCTGAAATGTGGGAGACCTGGGTTCGATCCCTAAGTTGGGAAGATCCCCTGGAGAAGGGAAAGGCTACACACTCCAGTGTTCTGGCCTGGAGAATTCCATGGATTATACAGTCCATGGGGTCACAAAGAGTTGGGCATGACTGAGCGACTTTGGTAATTTGTTACAGCAGCAATAGAAAATGAATACAGTAAGGAATATTTTATTTTTACTTCATTTAAAAAATATATTTTTATTTATTTGGCTGTGCCAAGTCTTAGTTGGGGCACATGAGATCTTCTATCTTATGTCTTGGTTTGCAGGAGCTTTTAGCTGTGGCCTATGAACTCTTAGCTGTGGCCTGTGAGGTCTACTTCCCTGACCAAAGATCGAACCTAGGGTGTCTGCACTGGAAGTGCAGTCTTAGCCACTGTACCTCCAGGGAAATTCCATTGTCTTTACTTCATTTAAATAAAAGTTAATCCAATTGTTGCTGCTGTTGTGTAGTTGCTAAGGTGTATCCAACTCTTTTCGACCCAAAGGACTGTAGCCAGCCAGGCTCCTCTTTCCAGGGGATTTTCCAGGCAAGAATACTGGAGTGGGTTGCCATTTCTTTCTCCAGTGGCTCCTCCCGACCCAAGGATCAAACCCATGTCTCCTGTATTAGCAGGTGGATTCTTTACTACTGAGCCACCAGGGAAGCCCTGTTTATCCAATACTCAATCCTTATTCTTCTGGGCTTCCAGGATGTTTACTGCGAGACATTACTGAGGCCCTTTCTCATACCAGTGACTCTCAAGGTCCCAAGGGTGTCAAGAATCTTACTATGAGCCAAAATACCAAGGAGGCCCCCTTGGACCTTCTGTAATCATTTGCTATCAGTGAAACGCCGTGGTCCCTGGTTCTTGGTCACATGTCACTTGGTGGCAGCAGCAGAATCTTCACAAGGCTGGAAAACTTGGAATCTAGGGTTCATCTCCTCTAGGCATCCAGGAAGTCATCCCCTCATTCCTCCCATCTGAGTGTGGTATCATTACCTGGGAGCACTAGGGGTTAGGAATGGGGTTCTGGTAACCCTTTGTCCCCTTCTCAGGGAAATCTTCCCTCTAACAGTCTAACAATCTCTCTCAAGGACACATATATCTCATCCCTAGCACACATGTGCACACACATCAGGCCTGATATTGAGGTCGTCTCTAATCTGTTTTAACCTCTCAGACTCCCTTGAAACAAAGAGCATAATGATCTGGTTACTAGGAGTTGGGAGATAAATAAAATATAAATTAAAATAAAATATAAATTAACATCTTAGATTATTTTGTTAACACTGACGCACTGTTAAGTTGGTTTTATCTCTTAAAGGAACTTTCGCTTACCTTCCCAGTGCCTTGGTATCTCTCAGAGGTTTGGTGACTGATGGTTTTTATTTTGGTATTGAATTCTGTCCCAGCAGGCTGGTAAACGCACATAAAATAGCAACTGGCTGGGTGTGTGATACATTTTTTTCAGGCTTCTTAAGGTCAGGATTCATAAATTGGACATTGGGCGAATTTCTTCCTTTTCAGAAGGAAAAATGACTCTTTTCACTCAACTCTGGCTCTATCCCACCTGCATGGGAGTTTTCTCTGATTCTGGTCAACCCTTGGGAAAATGAACTGTAGAGAAACAGGGATGGAGCAGGGGCCCACTTAAATGTGTTTATGGTAATATTCTAGGCAAGAGATGACACAGGCTTGAATCAGGGCAGAAGTAGTAGAAATAAATGGTTGGATTTTTAATTCTTTGATGGGTACAACCAATGATCTCATATTGGGTGTTAAAAGAGAAAACCAAATATAAATAGGCTGTTAGAGCTTAACTTCCGTCACATAATTCATAGTTGGGAGTCTGGAGGGACCTTAAATGACTTGCCAGAACATTTCACATCTTGAGATTGGAGATCAGAGTTTAAGGGTTGTCACAGGAGACTTAGAAGTTAAAGAGTTCATTCTCTAATGTAAATTGCATCCATATTTCTTTGTTTTCGGATTCACCTCCTTTTCTACAGTCTCTAGCATTTCATTATCTCTCAACTCCAACTGGCATTAAGTTCCAGTTTTTTCTCCCATCCCACATTCATCACCAGGCAGGTTTTTCAGCTTTTTTCTATCCTCCCTTCGAGTACTCCAAAATAAATGACAGGTACCATTTTCAGGGGAAAAGAATGCAGGAAAGTTGAAAACAATAGCCTTGTATTCTATATACAAGCTTGGAAGATGACTAAAAATGTCATAATGAGATCAACATTTTAAGAAATGCAGTACTGTTCTATTACTATCAGTGATAAATCTATTTTATATTTACTCTTTCGGAGCTCAAGAATCAAGATAATTGTCATTGCAAAACTTAATTCATATGACTGATGAAAACTTTGTTTAAAACGTTGAATGCTGGAAGAAGTAACAAAGTATTAATAAGTGAGAACAAACAGCACCCATATAAGGCAAGAAGTAGTCTCTTGCTAAAGTGAAGTTAATGTTAGTTTTTAAAAAACTGCGGGCTATATTGCTGTTTTTCAGAGCTGTAAAACCTTAGGCAAAGTAGTTATCTTTCTGTGGCTTTTCTTTCCTCTCCATGAAATCTCAGCTCTCTTATTGCCTCTTGAGCTTAGGGTCCTCAATGACACACCCACACACACACACATCTTAGTTAAAGAACTATTTAGTGTTTAGCGTAAAATGCATGTTTGCTATGGGAAATACCAAGTACAAGTCGCAGGGCACAGGTTCCTGACCTTCCAGAGTAGGAAATCCGCGGAAGCAGACCAGCAGTGAACCCAATTTACAGTCGGTGCAAACTTCCTCATGCTGGCCTGAAACTATCAAGTACATAAGCGGCTGCGACTGTGAGCACTCACCCAGCTGTTAATTCTTAAACTGCCATCCTAAGCCGGAATAGGCAGAATTCCACTTTACTTTCACTTTTGAAGGGGATAAAAATAAAGTACGTACAACTTTGCCACCTGAGATGTTTTCAGAAGAGATTCCTTTACTTGCCCCAGAGACACTTCCCTAACCTCAGTAACTCCCCAGGACAACCCACACTTTCCTTCCGGGTTCTAGGTGAACTGTTCCATGGGCACAAACCAATGGGCTCATTCCTTCGCCGCAACGGGGCGGGGTCTCCCGCCGGGGCTTCGGAGACCCGCCCTCCGTACGTGGCGTGCGTGCGTGGCGACGTGGGGCGCGGAACGGTTTCTTCAGCTTGTGGCGCCCCCCGGCGGCAGCAGTGAAGAGATGTGAGGGCTGGCCCTGAGCGCCTGCCATGGAGCCGCACAAAGAGGCGCGAACACCCGGGGACCCCGTGGCGTGGCTGCCTGGGACCCTGAGGACTCAGACGCCCGAGGAGGAGGAGCCGCGGGTGGGCGGGTCAGCGCCAGCGGCGTCTGTTTTGGACGCGGAGGCGTGTGGGGCCAGTGCGGACGGTCTGTGGGACCTGCCAGTGGAGCCGGCGGAGCGGAGGCCCGAGTGCAGCCACTGCAGGTGACCGCCGGGCGGGGGCGGGGGCGGGGACTGAGGCCGGCGGCGGACTTGGGGGGCGGGGGGTGGGGGCGCGCTACAGCGCTCCCTGCCGGGGAGGCGGCTGCTGCGACTGCGGACAGGGGAGCTTTGTCGCTCATCTCCGCGCTTGGAGCTGCAGTGTCCACTGGTTGACTTTCAAATCACTGTGAAATAGCCACAGCTCTTTTAGTAAGAAGCCTTTTCTCCAGGTTCAGGATTACTTACCCTTAATTCATGCAAGACACTAGCGGGTTATGGGATGAGCGGACAGAAGTTTCGCTGTCAGGAAGCAAGTGTCTGATGGAGGAAGAAAGGCGTAATAACAGTAATATTTGTAAAAACACTTTTTTGCTTATGTGACACAGCCATCTCACGGTCAAAACAAAAACATAAAATGGATTAGAGGAGAGAGACAATCAAGGTGGCTATTAAGGTAGTTGAGATTGGATTCAGAATTATGAATTCACTTAGAAATATTTATTGAGCACCTACTGTGTGCCAGGCACCGTGCTAGGTTTCTGGGAACCTAGACATGGATAAAACATGTCTCTGAGCTCACTGGGCTACTTATTGTCTAATGAGGAGACTTTGTTAAACTGCTGCTGCTGCTAAGTCGCTTCAGTCGTGTCCTACTCTGTGCGATCCCATAGACGGCAGCCCACTAGACTCCGCTGTCCCTGGGATTCTCCAGGCAAGAACACTGGAGTGGGTTGCCATTTCCTTCTCCAATGCATGAAAGTGAAAAGTGAAAGTGAAGTCGCTCCGTCGTGTCTGACTCTTAGCGACCCCATGGACTGTAGCTTACCAGGCTCCTCCGTCCATGGGATTTTCCAGGCGAGAGTCCCGGAGTGGGGTGCCATTGCCTTCTCCGTTTGTTAAACTAATAACCAGCAATTAGCATTGTCTGCCTGATTGAGTTATGCTTAATGTACTTTCACGATTGTGAGGACTGTTCTCCCTGCTTGTTAGAATGTCATGTTATACAGATGTACTATTTTTAAAAATAACTTTCTTTTCTGGTGTAATATTAATATAGGCTTTAAAAAGTATGTGTTTTATTATATTTGGCTCTTTGGGGTCTTAGTTGCAGCACGAGGAATCTTTGATCTTTGTTGTGGCATATGGGATCCTTAGTTGTGGCATGCAAGCTCCCTAGTTGTGACATGTGGAATCTAGTTCCCTGACCAGGGATCAACCTGGGCTCCCTGCATTGTGAGCATGTAATCCTCACCACTGGACCACCAGGGAAATCCCACCATTAACCTTAATGGAATGAAAGCTAATGGAGCCTTTCAATTTTTACTGGACCTCTTGGGAGAATTCTGCAATTGAAATATTCCTTGAAACATTCTTTCTTTGGTTTCTCTGTGATTTATCTGACTTTTCTGTCCTAGTCTTCTGTGCCTGTTCCATTCAAACTGTCAGTGTTGGGCCACCTCAAGGTCTTTGTTCTAGATTCTCTTGTTCTAATCCCATACACTTCCCACAGATGATCTTACCAGTTTTCATGGTTAAGTTATCACCTCTACATTGGTCTCTCTACATCAGACTCTCCTCTGGAGCAAGAGATGTATGTCTTCATTTAATTATTGTGTATGGAGTACTTTGCTAATTATTGTTAATACGGTTGGAGGCTTTGTCCACATAGACTGTTTAGTTTGTTGTTGGTTACAGATGATAAGACAGTAAAAAAGCAACCAAGTATGTGATTACAGATTGAAAAAAACCCAAAAGACCAGCAATGAAGGAGAGAAGTGGGATGCTGTAATAGAAAATAGCAGGATGGTGTCAGGAAAGATTTCTGAAGAGATAGAACTTATTTTGAGACTTAAACGATAAAAATGATCCAAACCAAGAGAAAAGCATTTCAAGAAGGGGAGCAGAAGGACAGACTGGTTGCTATTCTTTACCATTTGACCTTTTCCCAGAGCTGAATCAAAAGACCTCAGAGTCAGAATCTTTGAGTGTAAGGATCTTTTTATATTTTCTGACTGTACTATGTCTAGTAGATATTCAGTAGATCTTTGACAAAGGTGAGTAGTTTGTGTCTAGAAGAGACTGTGTTTTAGAAGAGAGGGATATGTGAATACAATTTATTTAAATAAGTTGTCTAAAGTTGTTAGATGATAACACCTAAAAATGCGGCAAAGAGGTCTACTAGAATGCTGAAAGAAAAATGTTTCAAATATAAATCCAGAGATAAATTATGCTAGTTTTATCATATAGCTTTTAGTCTACTCAGAACTGCTAGTTGAAATAGTTTAAAAATTAGTCTTCTGTAGTTAGCAAAAATTTATAATGTTTCTGATCTGTTTCTCCTTGCCCCATTATAGACTTTGTGTTTTAGAGCACTTTTAGATTGATATCAAAATTGAGAGGAAGGTACAAAGATTTCCCTTGTGGCCTCTGCCCCCTCCATCCCCCCACCACATGCATAGCTTTTCAGTTATCAACATCCCCTACCAGAATGGTACATTTGTTACAATTGATGGAATTGAGTGACACATCATCATCACTTAAAAGTCCGTAGTTTACATTAGGGTTCACTCTTGGTGTTGTGCGTATTTTAAGTTTGGAAAAATTTGTAATAACATTTATCTGCTATTATAGTTTCATGCAGAATGTTTTAACTGCCTTAAAAATCCTCTTGGCTCTGCCTTTTCATTCCTCTCTACCCTCTAACCTGATCTACTGTTACTGGATTTTAGCTTGTTTTCAGTTTTATTTAGTTAATACTTTAGAATTATAATCCACTCTGACATTTCTGTGTTTTGCATTTTCTGGTGAAATTTTCTACCTTTTAAAGACTCTTCTTTCCCTTGGCACATTATGCGTTTTAATTGGTTAGGATACAGTTCTAGAAATTTTAGGTGTTACCTATAAAATATAAACTAATTTATAGCTCTTTATATTTTATTTCATTAGGCTGTTAGGGTCTCAGCTAGTTGCCTGAGTGAACTTCTTTACTGTTATGCTTATAATAGTTTTTAAAATTGAAATGCATTTTTAGTTTTGAGTGATCAGTACGTCGCAATTATTTGGCCCTTTTTTAATACTTAAAACACTATTCATTTATCTAAATACACTATTATAATTGTCACTGCCTAAAGAGTTCTAGAGATTGGTTTTGTTCAGGAAGTATAAACTCAATTTAAATTCTCAGCAGAATCTTGCTCGTTAGAAATACAGCATATCTTAAATGTTGGGGCCGGTGTGAGGAAAGTAGGAGAGACTCCCTCTTGAGGCCTGTCACCCGTCTTGAAGATAGGATGTAAACTGGGCCTGAACCCTGCCCAAGAGTGAGGAAACTGTTGCTAATGGAAACCAGGTCTCCTGGAGAATTCCCTCCCTACAGATGGCAAATGGAGATTGTAGTTGAGGTCAGGCTGCCGCTGTTAGATTAACCGTGGAGACATCCCCCCTTGATATATAACCATTGTCCCCCTCTCCCCCTTAACTTTAAATTGTTAGGTCTTCTAGCACCTACTTACTGTAAAACTCAGTCATGTACAACAAAGAGGTTGCTACCATGTAACCAGTCACGTGGGAGTGGGATATAAAGCTGGGCCTCTCAGAAACATCAGGGTCCTTGTTGGGAGCTGATTCCTCTTGGACCCGCTGGCGTAATAAGTGTACTCCACTGTCTTGAATGTCTTCCGAGGTATGTTTTGCGACTCTGGATTCCACAACAAAATATGAATGAAATATCCCTTAAAAGATCCATACTAGTTTGGTATTGCAGGTTACAGATTTTATAAAAAGTATGTCCCTGTTAAAAGGAGCAGCATGTACAGGAGTATACTGTATCAACACAGTGTATTTGGAGAGCTTGGCAGAAAGGAAGGAGAAGTGAGGTTGATGGTCGTTCTCTTGGGAAGGGCCAAATAAGCTGTTAGAAGTTAGAATTCCATGCACAGTGGAGCCTGGTGGACTGCAGTCCGTGGGGTTGCAGAGAGTTGGGCATGATTGAGTGACTAACCACTTTCACTTTTCTAATCTTCCTCTTTGGCTTAGCAGGTAAAGAATCTGCCTGCAATGCAGGAGATAGGAGTTAGATCCTTGGGTGGGGAAGATCTGCTGGAGAAGGAAATGGCAGCCCATTTCAGTATTCTTGCCTGAAAAATCGCATGGACAGAGAAACATGGTGGACTATGGTCTATGGGGTTGAAAAGAGTCAGACATGACTGAGGGACTAGCAACACCAGGAAGTTTGAGCCTAAAGCACTAGAGCCCGACAAAGTAGCCACTGAAGTTGTTTTTTTTTTTTTGAATGGAGGTGTCAATTTGACTTCTGTGGGTGGCTTTTAGCTATCATAATTTATACTCTGTTTTATTAAGAAAAATGCAAACTGAATAGTGATACAGTGGTAAAGGCTTGACTGGGAAGAGCTAGAGCCTCATTATAGTAAAGATGCCAAACGTCTTAATTATATTTTTATGTCTTCTGTGGATATTCCTGCCTGAGGACAAGAGTTGGAAACCACTTGCAAATCATTGGTTATAAAAATAAGTACAGAGAATTTTTTAATGTGTCTGAGGGAGGAAGACAGCAGGGACAACATATATATAAACTGACACAGACAGGCCCTGAGACATAATTTTTCTGTCTCCAGTGCTTTCTTCTTTCAGAAGTACAAAGTTGTAAGGATTATGTGAAACCACATCAGTATAAATAGCACCCATTTATTAGACACTGGTCATCAGCAGGTTATCCACCGAGATGAGGTGTTTTATATTTGTTATTTTATTTTTATCCCGTAACAGCCTTCTGGAGTTGATGACATCATTAGCTTTTGAAGGAGGAAAAGGCGGAGGTAACAATCAGGTAGCAGAGCTGGGTCTCTGGCTCCAGTCCGCGTGGCTCCCCAGCTCCTGCAAGGGCTTGACTCCTTGCTCTGCACTCCACGCTTGCTGAAGAAGCCTTATTTTGATTGCATAGTGGATGTAGTCACCAGTTGAAGCGGAGCTATTAAAGCTGCAGG